CTCTGGCGTTGATCTCGCGCCGTTGAAGGGTTTTGTCCACTGTTCTGGTTGGTCATCTCCAATTCCTTCTCCCCTCACGATCGTCACTCATCTTCTGCAGTCACCTCGACTGCAGTGTCCTTCTTGATCGTGTTCTGCCAGCCCCTCATAGCAGGACGCGGAATTAGAGGATCGTAGGTTGGAGACGGGTATCGCCCAAACGCTTCATCTAGTCATTAATATAGTAATCGGGCGCTACACTGAATTCCTTCAGAGCTGACAGCTTTTTACATCAAACCTAATGTTCATGGATGCTTCAGCAAGAAGACGAGTTGAAAAAGAGTCCGATTCGTTTTCCCACAGGAGTCCGCGATGGAAGGTCGGAATCGTGAATCCTATTGTCTTTGCATTGACGAACGAGGTCGAGGACAGCTTCCATCGGATAGGAGCCATATTATAGGGTTTGGTCCCCCATTACAACACTTATATAGTGTGAAATTTGAAGACACCTTTATACTCCTGGGAGTGTAAAGCCTGGAAGCTCCTCCACTGATAGTGCTCCACGCAACAAATTCTAACGGCTTGTTGAGGTTATGTGCCTGGCTGGTCGTGGTCACGACCATGACCAGTCAGGCACTTGCTTTGGCCCTGGTGCAATGTGGAGCCAATCTGGAGGTGGCAGCATGAAATGCAAAAACGGCTCAAGTACGGGGATCCGAACCTTCAACCATCCTTGTCGGCTTTCCTCGAAGTCCACATCGCTATCCACCAAACCATACACCGCTGCTGGCAGCTAGACCGTGGAGAGCCTATATGAAACTTCCCCGCACTTTTCAACATGTGGGTCCCTTTTTTGGCGACCTTTCACGTTCTTTTCAATGACGCCTCCACTGGCCCCCTCTACTGTGCGGACAGTCGACGTCATGACTGAAACGAACGACGCTTAGTGGATTAAAACGACAATTTCTGGCAAAATCTTCTTCGCCTCGTTTTTGGCATTCAGAAGGCCATTCAGCGGAAATGGACCATAGTTCTATACTCAGTGCTCATGCCCCTACACCATGCGAAGAACCATTTTCGGAAAGCGTTCCACGCCCTGAAAGGCCTTCCTTGTAAGGTCTTAGATAGCATTACAGTGCCGCTAAGTGCCAGTGGAGCGCATTGCATTTGATTTGCATTTGTCCGTGTCATCTTCCTCTTGTCTGACTGCCGTGGACTAAACGCCAATCGTGTGCCCCACTGACAACTGCGATTCTGTCAAGTATCGCAGGCTGACCTGCCGCACGCGATGGCTACGGCGTGACCTAGTTTAGACGGACACGCGCAACGAAGCGCACCCGGAAAAATTCATTCGAAAAAAACGTAGTACAGAGTAGCATTAGAAAGAACTACTTGGATATGTACCTATCACCACTTTGCTTTAGGTAGTACCTGGTTGCAAAGGCAAAGACGTAAAAGAGTTGGCGCATGTCCAACATACCTTACTTGCACATAATTCGCTCAGACACCAAGGGAGAAAGTGGAGCAGTGGGTCTACGAGACTCTGGATGCAGTGTAGTAGGAACGACATTGTCACTTCGCGGCGAGAGAGACGTTGCGCGCGAAGGAATGTAGCAGAATGCAGCAGCAAGTAAAAAATACAGGAACAAAAGAACTAACAGTAGAACCATCCAAAAGTAATAACGCATAGCGATTGAGTACTATGAAGAACACTGGAACTGTTATAATTAGGCAAATGCTCGATAGCCGCGTGCGGCGGATCGAATACACCATACCGTTCCTGCTGCTCGTCTCCCCGAGATTCTGGAATGGCCCGAACAGGGAAAGCAAGGGAATCTCACCTCAACATGACCACGAATACAGTACCCACCCCAAATGTTCAGGAAAATACGCGGACTCGTTTTTTTTAGATTTTTCTCTGTAACTAGGTTGGTTTTCACATTTTTTATATAGCATGCTATATATGGTTCAACACAGATCGTGGAGCTCTACAAAATGTTGTCCAGAAAATTTCGAAAAGCCTAATCTTGAACTCCACCATCCATTAAAGTTCCTGAGGGTACGTCATTAGCAACGACGCCTACAGAAAGTACTCAGTGAAATGTGGAGTAGCTAACGTTTTCCGACATTAGATGAAAATTAGACCATGGCGTTTCTCGGACTGGTCCGATCATTTTGATACCAGTTTTCCTCAAAATGAATGAATTTGGCCATGCGCCAATTCAAATACAAAAGCTTTTCAAAATGAAAAATAGCAAGAATGAGTTGATTCCTGCTCTTAGTAAATGATGCCTGCTCTGCCTAATGCTGCCTATTCTTCAGAGAAATAGCTTCTCTACAGTTTGAAAACTGTTAGCTTGAGTATAAAAGAAAAGAAATGTAATCGTTTGAAATCCAGTATGCGTCATGTTTTTACGAAGAGCACACATTTTCTTTCTTTTTCAAGTAAAATCTCCAATCTTAAGAGAAGAGCTGCGAACTACTTCGAAAATATCCATGCTAAAACTTTTTGTGTACATTCATCAACTGTAAAAACACCTTCTGCTCCTCAAACTATCCGCTCTCAACTGACCTTTACCTGCTTTCTCTGAATCAGTGAATTTTACAAGACCAACCAGCATGACATACGCTGGTGGAGGTACGATGTACCGGCGGGCAGTTCGGCTCAGCAGAGCCGAACCCTTACTCTCTCCAATAAAGGGGTGTGTGTCGGTCCTGCTCAGCCGAATTCCCCGCCTACCCATTGGACATGTCGGTTAAGCCGAAGTGAGAATAAACTGGCAACAAACTGACTGGCAGGTCGAAATAGGCGAGGGCCAAGGCGAAGCAGTGCGGTTTCGCGGTGTGGCGGATAAGGGTCCGGACTCATTTCTATGAGGTGACGGGTTCATTTCGCAGCGCTACGCCAGAAATTTTTGAGTCGATGCATGAGAGAGCATTCAAGCTAGGTCATACCTGCAAAATAGGGTAACAAGTTTTACATAAAGTGTAGATTGCGGAACACAGGGTTTTCCCTACACCAGCCATTTAACTTAAGCATTTCAGGACTTCCCACTCGCGATCTCATTAACAAATCATAACGCTTCAGCTTTTAAATGTTCATCTAGGAGGGGCCCTTGTTGATTCGGGAAGTTGATGGTTTAGCGGCTTGCAGACCCTCCTAGTCTGGCAAGTAGAAAGGTCCTTTTTCTCTCACAGTACAGTACGAAGGTAAAGGGATTGAGCTCTGGATGACAGTGTGAACCAAGGAACCAGACATTTTGAACCCATGGAAACTACTGGGAAAATGCATCGACTAATCAATGAATATCACCCTCTTTCTCTGAAGGATAGAATTTTCAATTACGATTTCACAATGGAATAAAATATTTTATTAGCTTTTTGGAAGGACTCTGTGAGAGTAATATCACTGCTGCTCCGAGGTGTCGAGACTAAACAGAGGTCGTTGAGCGATCTCTAACGGATGGTCTTCCGATTCAGAATCTTCGGAAGAGATCGATTGGCTACGCCGTGCTTCTGGCTGAAAATTACCACCGATTTACATATAGTTTTATGTGTTTTGAAATTAAACGACTTGATTTTCTTACTCGAGCTACGGCACGTTCCAAAAAGTCAACACAGGCAGTGTGTTTGAAGAATCGAGCATCGCCTAGAGCGGATCGATTCCATCTAAGCAAGACAGATTCAGAAGTATTATTGATCGAATGATTCACCCAGACATTCCGGATAGTACCCCTAACAAGATCCGAGTGAATTCCTTACAAATAGTGGGTACGTTAATTACCGAGAATTCGTCAGAGTTGAATTGGAGTTCAGAAGTTTCGGGCCCTTTCAGCTTTCAGTGGAGTTCCAAAGCACATACCTGTCTCGAGCGTCTACACCCACTTTGGCCACGTTCACAAGTATTTTCACCATATTGAGATCACCTTCACTGGCAGCCACATGTAGAGGAGTACGGCGGACATAGTCACAGGTAGACAGGTTTACGCCTTGCATATATAATCTGTAACGAAAGTATGATGTCCATTGGCAACGTCCATTTTCACAAAACCTTGAGGACAGCTAAAGTTCCGATGAATCATTTTCCAAAATCGACACTACGCTCAGCTCTAGGAATAAGCAGCGCATGTCGAGTTTACCATAAAAGAAAAGTTTGGGGAACTTTTCTTTCCATCACTTATCGGTACCGCCAAAAGTACTGCACAAAATGGAAGAAAGAGAAAAAACGGTTGTGCCGAATCGCTGTTGCCTAGTGAAACTCTTCCGAGTCTGTTTCAGTTGCCATCATGTGTGCTACGAGTTTTGGACTCTAAAAGTTGGCGTAGTGAAGTAAAAAGGCTGGTGAACACTCTCCAGCACCCACGACTAAATAAACAACTATCCTATCTACTTATGGATCTGCTTATGACAAAGCTTTTTCCTGAAGAATTGTCGTAGAATGTGTATTCCATATTTATTGATCCACTCGGTGTTGTGATAGTCTTGCCATAGTATAATAAAACGATGATTTCATGGACTACAATGATCTCTTGTTCGAAGTTAGGCATCTAGGGCTACTAGGGCCCCTACAAGTGGTGTTGGGCAAGTGGTGCTCTATCATACACGCATGGTCAAGGGTTCGGATCCCGATACGATATCCGTTTAGGACAACCAAGCCTTCCATTCCACCTGAGGTCAGTTAATTGGTCTAGACTCATCTGGAAGGATAAAAGCCCTGATTTGTACATCGGTTGGTCACCGCAATTCATTGTATAGACCACATACGCATTCATAGCGCCTCTACGATTCTGAATGGGAGTCAAATGCGTGGTAGCATCCCTCAGACGGGATAGGTTAGCGCTCCAAGACTTATCCTTTTTTATCTAAGCCCATCGATAATTTCTAGCCATAATTATCACCAACAGGTAGGTATGTATCACATTTACTCTCGATAGAAGTTTCTCAGCTCATAGTGAGTATCTTTATTTGCTGGCCAATACGTATCGTCAATCGGTTGCATAGGATCTAATGAAGTCTTTGATTATCAATTTTCGTTATCTTTTATTGCTCAATCTGCTGCTCTACTTTAGCGAAGCTACCGACTACAATTACTGCCCCGAAGGACTTGGAGAGGTGACTTTTTTCTTACTGAGGAAACATTTCCATTGTAAGTTCAACTTCGCTACTCGGAACAATTTAGGAAAGTATTCCTAAGGGATTTTGCTTTGAAATACATATTTATCCGGAGAATGGTAAAGAAACTTGGTGCGTTCTGCAAAGAGGTAAAATAAACGAAACGACAACTGAGGTAAGTTGTGGGAGCAAGTGATCGACTTATTTAGTAAGTATTGAGATTGAATCGCTTTTGGTGAAAATGTAGTTGAGGGGGAGGGCCACCCATCCGAAGGTCAGTATATCAAGAAATGAACTCAGTCTAACGTGTTAGCCCTTGTTATATCAGCACTGTATTGGATGCGTAGAGGATGACTGGAATCAACCAGCTCAGCTCTTTTATGCGGTTTCCGCTAAGGAAATTTGGTTTGCCAAATAAGCCTAGTTAGGGTAGGAGCGCCTGGGTGGCTAGGATGATTATCTCCTGCAAAAAAAAAGGAAGAAAAGAAAGAAAACTTGCCCACCGCGATGCTCCTTCCCTACGAGAGCCCTTATTCAAAAACAAGCATGTCCGTGATATAACACGACATAACGCGTTTCATTGAGTTCATTTCTTGATATACCGACATTGTAATAGGTGGCCCCCCCCCCAACTACATTTTCACCTCGCTTTTTTTCAAGTATCGGGTGTCGGGGCAACGTGTGGCCTTTTGTGAAGTCTTCAAATGGAATCAAAACAGTAAGAGAGGTTATCTCCACCAACAACTAAGATGTTTTTGTGGTCGTGACGAGATAGAAGCATGTGAAAGCGAGATTACGGTGAGTTGCAGCACCTTTACAAACGGGCAAGTCTTAGATAGTAGCCAAAAGGGGACTCTTTTCAAAAATTACTGTAACTTTCTCGCTCCATAGTCCATGCGTGGCAGTAGTACAACAAGATTATCGGCCTCATTTTGACGTCATGTTTCGAATGATTGCTCTCATGCGCAGCAGTTAGCGATGTGGGAGCCTTCAGAAACTTGCTAAATTGGACCAAACTTTAGTTTTGCTCAGGACTCGATCCCGCTAATAGTCAAGAAAACCCAACTTTTTTTTTGTCAGAAATCAGGATTTTTCATTAGATTTTGGAAACTCCCTACCATAAAGGGGAATAAAATGGTTGCCTCATTTTGTTTACGACGGTGACGTCCTATAACAGTCACAGTTACAAGAACAAATGATTTTATAGGCATCACTACATGAATAACCTCAAGGATTGCTTTATTTCAGTCGGAGGGTTTTTTTGCAGAGAGTGGGCGTGACATATTTTCAATACAATGACTGTCGGGAGTCTGACCTGAAGGACATAAGGGTACTCTTGTCCAGTAAGAGTGTAACGACTACGGAAAAAGAAGCAGAACCACAAGTATCAACAATATCAACAACAACTACTACTACTATCGTTACTCCAATTACTACGACTGCGCCGTCGACAACTACCATCCCTACCACCACCTCCACCTCAACAACGACAACAACAACAACAACAACAACAACAACAACAGCAACAACAACAACAGCAACAACAACGACATCACCGCCAACAACAACAACAACGACCAAAACGACTACTTCAACTACTACTTCAACGACTACGACAACTACCAATACGACAACTACAGCAAAAACTCCCATATCGACTTCCTCAACAACAACTTTAGCGACTACGACTACCGTCAAAACCCCACTGACTACTACTACGGCCTCCACGTCTATAGCAAGCATTACCTCGACAACAAAATCATCAAAAAGTCCAAATTTCACGGAAGTCATCAGGTCGACAACCCCTTTACCCAAGGAATCTACTGGAAGTTTTTCCTTTTCAACTAAATCACTCACGGAATTGCCCCAGGGAACAGAAGCTACCACAACTACTGAGGAACCTGGTGAGACAACAACAACGGAAGCTTATGACCCGGGAAGAAT